GTGTGTGTGTGTGTGTGTGTGTGTGTGTGTGTGTGTGTGTCAGTAGGTGAGACGCTACACTGTAGGTAGACGCCTCTCTGTTTGCATAACCCAGAGATTAATGACCACCCTTGAGGGGCCTAAACTGTCACGGGGAGAACATATACGTTTTTGCCACGAGAAAAGGAAGTCAGACATTTGTTTAACTAAGTGTAACAGACTGTGTGGCCGGGGGGACCTTTGGTAGGAGCCGTCTGAACAGTGACAATTGATCTCCTCATCTTTGAGGTTGGTGGGGGGAGGGGGGGAGAGACTCCTGTTGTTGATGTCAAGGGTACGTACATCTGCTGCTATATTAGTCCAAATGTTTACACAGTATCAGTGGGCGCTATGAAGCAGAGTGGGCTAGAGTTCACTTGGCCCCCTCTGCACCAACCGTGCACTTCTGTGAATTTTGTGTGTGTGTGTGTGTGGGGGGGGTCGGTCAAACTGTGTGTGTGCGATGCGCAGTGTCATAGTAGAAGGGGTGGGAGGGTTTTGTGCTGGCTGTTCTATCTGTCTCCATCCAAGGCCATTTCCCAAAGAGAGAGGCAGGGCTATCAACTCCTTCACTGTCTGGTGCTACATCACCTGACCAAGGCCCTCCCCTTGTGGATTAGAGAGGAGGAGGGCTTGCTCTGGGCTTTTGAGAGAGGGCGAGAGAGGGAGGGGTGAGGGAGGGGAGAGAAATGGGAGGGGAGAGAAATGAGAGGGGGGAGAGAGGGAGCGAAATGGGAGGGGTGAGGGAGGGGAGAGAAATGGGAGGGGGGAGGGGGGGGGGGGGGAGGGGGGGAGAAAGGAGGGGGGGAGAGAGAGAGTGAGTGTTAGGGAGGGAAGAATGAGAGGGGAGAGCGAGCTAGAGTGAGAGTGCAAGAGAGGGAGCAGGTCACGGCTGCCCCTGAATGTAAACAGATTATTAGATTAGTGGCCATGAGAAGGAGACAGCCGAAGGGTCTGTCACTCTCTCGCTGTCTGTCTGTCTTTCTTTCTGTCAGTGCTGACGGGGCTGTGTTTTTTTTTTTTTCTTTGCCATTTAGCTGGTGCTGGTGAAACCGGAGAAACTTCTCGCTGGACCGAGGAGGAGATGGAGGTCGCCAAAAAAGGTAGTGTTTCAATTCGTCTTTTTTCGCTTTACCTCTCTTTCTCTGCGTTGCTGTGGCTCCTCTGCTTTCTCCCCCCCCCCCTGTCCGTCTTTCTCTTTTCCTTCTCTGATTATCAGATGTTGCCTCGCCCTGCCCGTTTCTTACATGCACACAGGAATGATCAAATAGAAACTTGTGCTGGTGCTTTACTGGAAGCTGTCAGAGACCCATGAAGGGTTTTATGGATATTTTTATTTTATTTTTTTTCTTCTTTTCACTGTGCTGCTCCGCTTGCTTCTCAGAAGTGATCTATTAAGGCCATCCATCAAGCAATAGAGCGTGACAGTTGTGGCTTCCTCCAAAGATCACTATCTATTATTCACATTTTAAAACTTTTTCAAATCCGCTACAATTTTTTTTAAGTTACTTTGGTCTTATAAATTCTTCAAAATGTTTGTTGCACACCGTGCCTGGTCTCAGACTGCACCGCTGCAGTCATTAGTCAGGTCATATGCCATTCAAGTATGCCCCCTCTCCCCCTTTTTGCTCGGCTTTGTTGATATAGGCTCTTATGCAGGGTTCCCTGAGTACCAAGACCCATAGACTGGGGGAGTAAATAAAGGGATTAATGTGGATTAATTAACACTCTCTTGGAGATTTGCCTCCCTCTCAACAAAAATATGTTGCTGCTGTGATCTCCGCAGGCATTCAGACCTTTATGCTAGACATGTCTGTGGATTAGTGTACTTTTAAAGAGACCTGCACAACCTCCTCTAGTCACGTCCAGAAATCACTTTTATCACACGCCTCCACCAATGGCCGGTCGTGCAAGCACATTGAACACAGTTCCCCTGTAAGACATTGTAACCTGTTGATCTGCATAAGCCTCGCTGTAAATACCAGGCTAACACATCTCGAGCCGAGCAGTCAAATCAGGGTTTTCATGAAGGAAAGAGGAGCTCGGCTCTATCAAGAGAAATAGAATAACATTTTTGTATTGATTGTAGTTTCTCAACTGCATTGATTTGGTCATTAACAAATGGCTGCAAGTCCATCTTCCATTCCCTTGTGTGATCAAAGATTCTCGTCGTATTGAGCTCAGATATTACGGTCAAATACCGGTATTCAGAGAAGTTGGAGATATTCGGTCTTCAGACATAGGTGCTTGTTGCAAGCACATTATTTGGACAAAATAGAACACATATTAGTTAACAAATTATGTAACTCCTCTCTTACAACTTAAAAATGAATGTTATGAGCTTCACAAAGGTGGCCTTGGAAGTTATTCCTTAAGACATTTAGAATAATTAGATTTGCCATGCCAAGTATCTACCAAACCAAAATAACAAAAAGAAGACGAGATCATCTTATTTGCTCTCTCAGGGACTTTTGTCAAGGATGCAACCTACGCGGGTAGATCTTTGCTATGGTAAACTATTTTATTTATTTATTTATGCAACAAATGTAACTGTTAAGACACTTGAGCAGCCAAGTGTAAATTTATCTTAAGACATTTAAGTGAAGGGTGCCACAACTTGAGATAACTCTTTCTTGTTGTGTGCGGTGCTCAGCTATGCTATTAACTAGGTGCACTTTGTAACAGTGTAGATTCTTTGGAGGATTCTGCTGACAGCGATCGTTATGTGCAAGAGCGTTTTATGCCTATTTTTTTATGGCTGCTAGATGAAGATACCATACTGGTCAAAACAAAGGACATCATTTTTACCCCAAACAAAGATGAGTCACTCCGAAAAGTCCCAACGACCCCATCCCCTCGTTTAGCTGGAGCAGTAATGGGGGTTTGTGTTTTATCTCTCTGGTGATTTGTCAAGCTGCCAGTATGCCTCGTCTCAGTAGGGCCGGGAGGGAGGGAGGGAGGGAGGGAGGGGTCACAGGATTTAGAGAGGAGAAGCCCTGATGTCAAAGGTAAATGGCAGTCTTCCAGTTCACTGCAGCTTGGTAGACTCGTTTCAAAGTTTAGCGAGACCATCAAAGCTGATTGTGTGCACAGCTCAGTGTTAATCGGGACGGGCAAGACCAACAGCAAAACCATAGCAACCGAGGAGAGGGTCATTTCGCAGAAATACCAAAGGTTTGCAGTCAATAATGTTAGCAACTGCAGCAACTTTCCACTCGGAAGAGACTGTTGAGAATGCATTGCGATCATCTTCTTGAATCATAGTAATGGCGCTAATACAGCAGAATTGGAAATATGAGTAAAGTATTGCATGTATGTCCATGCCCAATCAGGCTTTGATGGCTTGGCTTCACCACTCTGCTGCTGTTCCTTTAGATCATTTCAGCTTACAACTACTGTAATTAGTCTGATGGAGCATTAGCTCACGACACCTGACAAGGGTTCACCTTCTCGTTAAGTTGTATTCTTTCAAAGCGTCTGAAGGCTGCAAGTCTCTCATGCTGAATTGTCTGTTTGTCCTGCACCAGGGCTGGTTGAGCATGGGCGAAACTGGACAGCCATTGCCAAAATGGTGGGCACCAAAAGCGAGGCACAGTGCAAGAATTTCTATTTCAATTACAAGAGACGTCACAACCTGGACAACCTGCTCCAGCAGCATAAGCAGGTAAGCTATTTAACATCCGCTTTCTGTTATTGTTGCTCATTGAACTGTTGTAACAGCAACACATGAATGCAAAATGCTCCTCTTTCTGTTTCCCAGGACACACGGCGTGCTCGTGCTGATAGGTCTCAAGGTGAAGGTCTAGCCGCGGCGTCGCCTGACGATGACGACGATGACGACAACGCAGATGACAGTGAAGGTCAGAGAGATGGATGATAGGAAGCACGTTTACATCATCAAACACGCAGACACGCACATGCCCGAACACATTTGTTTTGGACATAGTAGTAAAGCGGGTAGAGATAAGTAGTGCGAAGCTGGGAAGCCTGATCCAAAATGCCCTCTGAATTGTCATGTAAGGATTTCATTTGAGTTGATGGCACTTGGTTTGCTCTCTACTGACTGTAGTTTTAATGAGAGGGGGGTGGAAGGATCAAATGAAAAGAAGCAAGCGGGGAAGAGGTGGAGATAAAAGATATGAACCAATTCTGCGCCCGCCTGTTGCATAACAATTCTTAGCTTTGAAGACTCAACAAAGGCTGCTCTTTGAACACAAATTACCGGTCCACTTGTTTGATCCAGTGAGGCTGCCTGTCTACCCGCCTCCCTGCTCTCCAGAGGTCCTTATCCTCACACGATTAAGGCAGCCCCCTTATGAAAAAGATAGCGTGCAATGTAAGGAAATAGATTTTGCAAAAAAGATTTCAGCAAAGTAATACAGTCCTTTTTGTTTTAAGGCTCAGCAGACTTGTATGTAATTTAAACTGCCTCCAGTTCACATGATAGCAGTGGCGACAGTGGGAGGTCACAAGGTTTCCTGTCATGTTTATTTGACTTTCTCTTTGTTCCATGGAAACCAAGTGATCAGCAGCCTGTTGATCTCACATAATGTACATCAGACAGTAGAGAGGAAATGCCCGAGGAGGCATTCATACAGCTTGGTTCAAGTGCTCTTACCAACATTGTAATGTTTGTCGTATTTCTCTGATTTTGGTTTGATACATAAAATGCATCTGCAAATAGTTTTTGCATAGACATACCATCTGGACTGCCATCACCATGGCAACAACTGCAGCGGTAGACAATAGGCAAACCAACAGAGCCAGGAAGATTATAAAAAAATACGCAGTTTCTATCTTCAGGATGTATGATGTTTAGACATGAATTCATCTTTTTATCCCTTTTAAATCGCAGATTGCTCAGGGTGTTGCTTTTGTCTCATGTCTACGCAGTTGGCATTTAAGATGCTTCAACTCAAGTGTAAAAGAACAGATTATTAGATTTATTATTATTGGATTATTTGTGTATTTTGAAAGTCTGTTTTGTCGTATCTTTGAGGCCTTGGATTTAGTATAGGCAATCTTAAATGGTATGAAACATGATCATTAATTAAACAAAGTCTTCATAGATTAGATACAATACAAAGTATCCAGATAATAGTCCAGATAATAAGAAAGAAATGTGTGAAGTGTGAACTTTTTGGATTATTACATGGAGCCTGTACACCACCTTTTTGTTTTTTTGTGGTGTCTTGGGTTAATCATTGATTCAGTCATTTGTTTCACGATCCTGATACAATCGGTCTTCTAAGTGAGGCTTTTTCTACATGATGGATCACCCGTCGGTAGATTTGGGTCTTGACTGACCTTCGCTGTTGTTTTATTTAGGTGGTCCTTTTTTTCTTAAAAGACATTCAAATTGGCTTAAATGTCTTCAGTTTCATGCATTGTTTGACTTGTACTAATTAATCTTCTCATGCTTCCTCAGGCGGTGACAACAGCTCTGATACAGAGAGTGCTCCCTCCCCCTCTCAGTCTGGCGACTCCAAGAGGGCAGACAGCGCTGCAGGAGATGCTCATTGCTCTGACCAGGACAAAGGTCAGGCCAGTAATGGGAAGGCCCTGGAGCCCTTATACAGAGGACTCTGTGTCAAGGAAGAGAAAAGCCCCGAGAGTGAGACTGGATCTCAGGAGGAAAAGGCCAGGATGGCTTCCTATGCAGGCCCAGTGCATCCCAAAACTGAACCTCAGGACGTGGACATGAAGACCGGAGAGGTTCAGATCAAGATGGAGCCTGACATCAGGGAGAGAGGAGAAAAGGGAGATCACGGCGAGAGGCACAGGGAACTCCACTCGGATAATGACTCCAGCGCCACCTGCAGTGCTGACGAGGATGTGGAGGCGGAGCCTGAAAGACAGAGGTGCGTTTTCATGTAATTCATGTTCTGTGTACATAATTGCAGTTGACAAGAACAGTACATGCTTATGGTTTTGAGTGTGACATTTATATATTATGCTTTGTGCCTCTGCAGAATATTCTCCATGGACAAGCCTACATTGCTCAACCCTCCAGGCTCTGTGCTGGTGTCCTCGCCCAAGCAAACCCAACTCAACATGCAGCAGAGGCAACAGCGGGCTGCTAACATCCCACCTATGGTTAGTCACAGCTTCAGGTTTATCCATTTAGATGGGCACGGAGGCAGGGCATGCATTAGGGCTCTCTGTACAATGGAACAACAACACCTTTTCCCTCATTTTGTTTCTCTAGGTGCCCGGCCCTTTTGGCCCCGGCAGTGTACCCATCAGTGGCTTCGCCATGTTGCAACACCAGATCAAAGCAGTGCATGAGTCGGCGCACCAAGAGGAGAAGCAGAGGCAGGATCAGGGAGACCTGGAGCGCAGACCGCCCTTCAACACCCGCAGCCCCACCGTAATAGACAGAGATGGTAAGAGAACAAAAACGACCCTCATTCTGTCCTCATCGCTCCCTCTTCCTTTTCATCGCTCCGTCAGCCTCGTCCCCTGTCGCTGCCAGCAGTGGACTATTTTTAGCTAATGCATCGCATAGGCCCTGTTCATTTTTGTTCAGTTTCAAAAAAGAAAACGTTTGAGGGTGATCTGGTCGTAATGTGGTCCAGCCGGAGCCAAGACAAAAGCGTTAGCAGACCCTGTTTTACATGTGATGCAAACTCAGAGGTGAAATCCTCATTGATGCCCCGCTTGAAATGCCTTTGGATGAAAAAGGGGACTTTGGTGTTTTTTGAGATGTTTTGAGCATGTCAGAATAAAACACTTGCTGCCTCTGGGCTGTCAGGCATAGGTCAGCCACTTAGCGTTAGAAGGGAGTGTGGTAAAGTCACTTGGCAGACTGCATTGCGGCATGATTTTTTGCAAAGCTTTTAGCACCTTTTAGTCAGGGTGCTGCGAAGAGAAGAGCAGCTGAGCTTTGACACAAAGCTATTTATTACAAAGGTTTCGGCGGGTATGTGTGTCCAGTTGGCAGTGTGTCCATTCAGCGCAATGCTCGGCAGCCTTGAGTTCTTGTTTTAATAGTGGTTGTCTTCCCTTTGTCCTTTATGCCTGTGTACTGCAGGTAAGCCCCTACCCTACATGCCTTATGACATGAAGCTGGCTCTGGACCAGGAGGTCCACTCTGGTCGGCCAGGCTCTCCCTACAGACTCTCCCCCAGGGAGCTGAGCAAGGCCTCACCCCAGCCTGACCCCAATGCCTCCCGCTACAGTGTGCCACCAGGTAAAAGCACACATGTTCGCCTCCTCCTTCCTTCCCTCTTTGCCTCCTCCCTTTCCTTGCTGATACAAACAAGGCTTTCCTGACTCCCATTGAGTTTATTGTGTTTGACAATGGAGGCACTTTTTAGACTCTCTTGGCAGTAGAATGTTCTGTAGTTTGGGCTGCAGTATGCTTTGTTTCAGCCCCTCTTGTATTTCACTTTGACATGTATTGATATCTATATTTTACAGCACAGCCTGTTGTTATATTTGTACACAGTTGCTTGATTGTCTTTCTTTGAAGTTAGAGGTACAAAGCAGGGAGTCTGAGAAATAAAATGTTATTTTCTGATTGTTTCGTATCGGCCTCAGAGAGGCGTGATGAGCGTTGGTATTTGACGACCTGAACGGGCTGCACAAAGCAAAATATGAAGAAAAGAGAAAACACAGGCATAGGGTGCACACATCTAGTTGGTCATAAATGACGATTGACTGGGATTATTTTTGCATGAGTCTATATATTGTTTTTTAGAAAATTCCTTCATATTATACCTTAGAAATTGTAGCAGAGGAGGACTGTTGTGGAGCTTTTAATCCTGTCATAAGTCGGGGTTCGGCAGTGTTTTGAAGCACTTGTGCAAGTCAGGTTCAATTTCTTCTTGTCCAAAGGTTCATGTTCACACATTGCGTTCTTGTACTGAATGTATTTAGTCAATGTTGACTGACATGAGAAGTATATTTTGAAACCTTTGCCAATGTTCTGTCAAGGAGTATTAAATGCTTTTCTAGTATTTCAACATTTTTACAATGTGCCGTTTTCTGTATAGTATGTTTTGGTTTGTTAATTTACATTTAAAAAAAAGAATTTGGATATGTGCTTCGAGGCCACGCAGAGCCGGTATCCCTGCACTTGTACACGTGTACAGTAGCAGTGAAACTAGCATGAGCCGGCTCTCTCGGTTATAATCACATACTAGAGATGAGGTTGGTGATTTTATTTTTATATGGCGATTATGTCATTGCATGAGTCATTTTTGGTCTGTTCTTTCACCCCGAATTTTGGCTTTTGTCCAACATTCTGACTCAAAGAGGCTGAGGTGGTGAGTGAATCGCTGCCTGTCAATAGCTGCCATCATCACCAGTTTTCTTTTTTTGCTGCTGTTGCATACAATAAGATAACATTTACCCTAAAATGTATTCGCTTTTCAAACCCAGTGCCATTCACACGTCCATGACTAAGAAGACGGGAGAAAGCACCATTTGTGCTTGTATTGGCTTAGTCAATCACCTACAGTCATTTATTCCCCATCTCCTCACTTTAATTTATTATGTCGTATGTCATGAGCCCAATTTGTTGTGAATATGATGACATGGCACAATGACAATAATAGAGTTTTTTCTCACCCTTTTACTTGATGGGAAAAACATAAATGCACAACAAAAACACACCTTTTTATTTACGTCCCAATTAATCATATTGAATAACTATATTTAATCTATAAAGCGAAACCTTTTTTTACCTGCTCTGAAGTCATAAACACAGGAGAGAAAGCTATTTAAAGCAGACGTAGTAAATGGATCACCAGAATTCCTTTTCCTCGCCTCCCTCTCAGGGCTTCAATATAAAGGAGCACACATGGCCAGAAATACCTTTTACCTGTTTTATACACATTTTTTATGTTCTCACACTATTGCACCATGAACTGTAATGAGACCCTTATCATCAAATACGATTTCTTTCAGTTGAATTCCTATTCTTCTTCACTTCTTTTAAACATGTATGGTGAGCTTCCTCCCCTGGCCCATCACAATCATTATGCTCTCCTTAAACAGGATGTTTGTTATTGCCGTTGTGACACTGAATGAAAGCGACATGAGGTGGATCACCCAAGATTTTATGCATGCGGGACGTTTTTCAGATACTTGCAAGAAGTTTATAGTGATACAACAGCAAAGTAATGTATGACGGGAACAGTAGTAGCATCAAAATTAAGAAGTTTGACGATGATCCTGCTGGCAAAATAGTTTCTCATTATTTCAAAGATCCACATTCCTTTACTATATTTCGAGAATTATGGTTTGAGGACAGCAGCAGAGGCTTGCTTCTGCTTTAGGAAGCCAAAGGGGTGCAGTCCACCAAACTACGGTGCCTAAAACATTTCCTGTGGAACAGCTGTTGTCGGTTTGGAAATGACATTTGGACTTTTACTTGAGTTTGACAACAATAGCTTTTCTTGTTTGCAATTTGGGGCAAACATACATCCCATGCCCTGACAAATTAGGTCGTCCCTGATGGTGAACTGTAGCATGGATGTTAATGCTTGACACACAGTCTCCCTCCAACATAGGATTTATAAATGTGTCATAGAGCTGCTTGTTTTCTTGTCTGTCCCCGTGTGAGCTAGCAGGATGGTGACGTCCGTTCCCCGCTGGAGGAGCTCTCGCACAACCTTTTGCATTTTTGATTTTGTAGAGTGCAGAGCATGAGGCAGTGTGCCCCTGCATGGAGGTTACTCCCGGTCTAGTGTTTGTGCATTATGATCCACTTTCTCTATTCAGCTTTCCTAGGAGACGGTAAATCAGACAGCAGGCATGGGCCAAGGTTACCTCAAGTTGAGGACAGACGAGTAACTGAGGTCTTCAGTGCTGACTTTGTCCCTCACTGGAGTTGCTCAGAGTCTTTGATGGGAAATGGAGCTTAATGGAACCCTTATTTTGGGTTGGTTGAAGTTGTAGTGTCTGGCAGGCAGAAACATTTAGTGGACGGGTCTATATTGCTGTGTGAGCAGATATTCTAGTTTTTAATACTTTGCTGTTTAGGTAGGTATCTAATCCTCAAATGTTGGCTAATGAGCCGTCATCTCAAATTATTTTTTTCATATTTCCAACAGTCCTCCACCCTGCCGCCAACCAGCTGGTCCAGACTATGCCAGATGGAGTCCGTGTGACGTTCAGCAGACCCAGTCGACCTCCCAACATTCCCTCTCCTCCTCCGCTCATTCCCACCTCCAAGCCCACGGACAAGCCCTCCTTCATCCAGGGGGGCTCCATCTCGCAGGTAAGACCCCAAGGGGATGTGGTGTACTGTTGGACCCAGCAACCGTCCTCTTAGTACCCACACCACTGACATTCACACCATAGCGAGGACAAGCCTTAAAGGTTCTTTGTGGAGTTTCTTTTAGTAGTGCTATGGAGCTGGGTTTTTTATGAGTGGGTCCCCGTTTAGATTTTATGTGATGCATGTTCCTGCAAATGGCTTCACAATATTCCAAGCATGTTGACATGAATATGCACAATGCTAGAAAAATACATAAAATACTGGAAAATGTTGTTTTTGCAAATGTTTTCTGAGAAAGGAAATGCATACAACACATTTGCTAAAGGTCAAGGATGCAGAATGTGTTTTGATGAGTAACTCTGAACGCAATCAACTTTTATTTGTTTACAAGAAAACTCCAGAGAGAACCTTTTAATCATTAAATACATACGTGCTTCAACACAGTAATTTTATGATGCGGTTGATGTTCCAATATATTATGGGAATATTATGGACCATAAATTAAAAAGACACAGAACTTTGCAATAGACTTACCGTAGATAAGGGACACCGAAATGGATGCAACTCAAAAATGGTTGCAGGTCTTGTATACGTGTTATTTCCTATAATTCTTTTCAGTCTGTCAAAGAAAATTGGAAGAGAAACTTTAAATAAATACTATGTAAAATTATAAGTAATACAATTGTCATCCATTGAACATGCCAGGTAGAATAATTATTCTTTATGAAACAAAATGATATTTGTAGGAATGGAAAGGAGCAGTGAAACATGTCTGCTCTGTCTTGATTTTTTTGTTGACCATTGTTACATAGGTTTATTTGGTACCACAGCTCTACAGAGTGCATCTTGTGCATCATAGTGCTGACAGCGTGATCTCTTAGTCAGGAAAATTAAGACTTTTTGTTTATTAGCTGGTATCATCTCATTTACCTCAGTTTGTAAATGAATAACTGAAACATATAAAAGAATATCAACTTCACTTGACATAGGGCTGCACAATTAATCGAATTTTAATCGCAATCACGATTTTGGCTGCCACGATTAAACGAGCATGATCGTCAGCGATATTGACGTTTAAAATGCCTCAACTAACAGTCAGCCGACCACCAGGGGGCGAACGAGATGGGAGGTGTCATGCGCGCACCCTGCAGACTCCACTATTAGTAGAAGAGTAGAGAGACAGACAACAGAGCAGACGGTCACGGGTGTCGTGTGAAAGCTAAATCAAATGTCAGGAGCAGAAGGCGAGGAGCTAGCCCCTCGAAAAGGATCATCATCCGTTGTCTGGATGTTTTTTGGATTTAGGCCAAGTGATGTTAACCAAGAACAAATCATATGCGCAGAGTGCGTTAGAGTTGTGTCTGCGCCGCATAGCAATACAACTAACTTGTTCAGCCACCTGGAAAAATCACCACAAACCACAGTACGACGAATGCATCAAGGCCAAAGTTAACGTTACCTCACTGAATCTCCGTCCATGTCCAACGTCAACCCAGAAAACCATAACAGTGACCCTGCACAGCGCGACAGCGTATCCATCCACCTCCCAAAGACACGCTGAAATAACGGATGCAATCGCATTTCATTTGGCCAAAGACATGTGTCCAATAAATACTGTGAGCAACACACATATTTATTTTTAGTTAGCCCTTTATATTGGGTAAAAATGTTATTTATATTTTGCTTCAGGTGAATAAGAACCGTATAAGTTTTATTTTGATGCAGAGACGTGTACATTAGCTGGAATGTAGCACAACATGGAAGTGGAAGCAGTGTTCTTGTTCATTTAAACGTGAAAGTGCGATAAAAAGATGTTGTCCCTAAAATGAATAAATAATCGTGATCGCAATATTGATCAAAATAATCGTGATTATGATTTTGGCCATAATCGTGCAGCCCTAACTTGACACTACTTTTTTGTTTACATGAACTCATTGACCTGACCTTGAAATGTGATCTTTGTTCCTGCTTTTCCAGGGAACTCCTGGCACATACCTGCCGTCCCACGCTGTCTATGGGCCAGAGGGGACGAAGAGCACAGTGGGCTCCATCTCTCTGGGTCTGCCTCGGCAGCAGGATCCTAACAAGCCTGGTAGGACACGGACTGTCACATTACTAAGAGTAGGCTTGCAGCAGCTTTAGACATTAAGTCCCAACCCGGCCTAGTTTAACGACACCTCTGAAGGATTACTATATTTTGAAGGCTGTAAGGTTTTATCTCTCTGCATCATAGCATTTTGCTAAAGCAAGCTTTTATTGAATAATGGCTTTTTTGCAAGCTCAAGCATATTAATAAAAATAGATGGATCACCCATGGCACACTTAAAATATCCATGCTGTTTGGCAGTTGTTGTGATGACTAAAAAGTAAAGTTATATAAATTCAGAACTTGGCCATGAGAATAATATTTTGAGATCACATGAACATTGGATACCAGGGTTTTTTATGGGAAGCGGTGTCTTTACCGTCATTGAGCCTGAACTGGATCAGCTACTGTTCCTGAAAGCTACAACCATTATATTAAAGCTCTTAACCTACAAACACTTATTTAGCACGTTTTTGAAGTTTCATCGTCTGTAGTCTGTAATCACGTCTGTTACCTCTGTCGACGACAGATCTTTGAGATTGTTACTTAAACTCTTCTTTTTCCCTCTGCAGTTCCATCCATACAGGATGGCAGAGGCAACCCAGCAAAGATGGGCGAGGGTCTGACGATGAGAGGATCAATCACTCAGGTAATAAATGCATGCAGTGATTTTTGCTGTGAAATAGATAAGTGACAGTTTTCAGTGGTCCAATATTTAAGGCTATGTGATTCTGCTTTTTATGTTGCATATATATTTGCTCTTCTCTACAAACTAGGGCACACCGGCCCTGCCACAGTGCAGCATTGCTGCTGACCTCCTGAAGGGCACGATCACAAAGTTGGCCACAGAGGACCTGAGCAGCCCAGACAAGGCAAGGGGAGAACAGCTATCTAAAGGTCATGTCATCTATGAAGGCAAGAGTGGTCACATACTCTCGTATGATGGTAAGTGCTTTGATTATTGATACAGCAATTGGTTCTAACTGGTATTCCTTTACCAAGCACACATCATGTATTTTTGTGTTCAAAAGCTATCAAGAACCCCAGGGAAAACACCCGCAGCCCCAGAACAGGCCATGAGCTGAAGCGCACTTACGACACGATGGAGGGACCCATGAACAGGGGACACCCTGGAAGAGAAGGAGCTCCATTTGAGGGTACTGCTCGTGTGTGTGTATGAGTATACACGATGCGTCATGGTTTGTTTGTCCTGTATCAGGAGAGTGATTGCGCTAGTTTGTTTCTCAGGGTTGATCAGCAGAGCCTCGCCCAGAGAAGGTCCACATGGAGATCCCAAGGAAAGACCATTGATCACAGGATCTATCATGCAAGGTAGCTCATTGCAAAGCTAGCCACAGTCCCATAAATCACCCACGGTTACAAGTACCATCAAATTCTGATAGAAGGCAGTAATACCGTTTCAAATCTTTCCAGGAACACCTAGAACCGCCGCAGAGACTTATGAAGATGCCATGAAATATGGAAAACAGATAAAGCGAGAGAGCCCACCGATCCGCTCCTTCGAAGGGGGCATTGGCAAGGGCAAGCCCTATGAGGGAGTCAATACTATCAAAGAGATGGGACGCTCCATTCACGAAATCCCCAGACAGGATCAGTCTGGCCAGGACATCTGCAAGACCCCTGACCTGTCGGACAGGAGGGTTATGGAGGGCTCCATGTCTCAGGTAAGACAATTTGACTGTTGACTACTACCATTCTTTGGATCAGTTCAGTGAACACGTTACCATATTAATGGCTTTGATATTGAGGCTGTATTTTACCTCGAACCTTTTGATGTATGAATACGCTAAATACACAAATATACATACTTGATGTAACCTATGATATTGGTGATGAATTGATGACTGACCTGTTGGTGCTTTCATTTACCAGATTCACCCTCTCAACCAGTCTACTATCAAGCACAACGTCAAGTCCCTCATCACCAGTCCCTCTAAGCTCCCCCACAGCATGCCCCAGCTCGAGGCCATGGAACGTGCCAAATACGAGGAGAGCAAGGCGGTACGCCACACCGTGGTCAACTCCACCGCCTCTGTCCTGCGCTCCACACACCAGGAGGCTAACAAATCCCAACTTAGCCCCAGCATGTATGAGGACGTCAACGCTCGCAGGACCCCTGTCAACTACAGCACCAATCCCGTGTCCAGAGGATCACCCATGTTGGGACGTGGACCAGAGGGTATATTACGTAACCATTTTTGAATGGTTTTCAGCCATTCATTACTTGCCCAGGACTCTAAATACAACAATTATAGAGCCAGACAAAATGTATTGAGGCATTTATTCTTGCTAAACCAGGTCATCTTATTTGCTAAAATAAGCATATTCAGAAAAATGCGTAATGTGCACCCAGTGCTGAGGGCATTAAGCCAACATTACTGGTTACTTATTACTGGTTTCTTTTTCTGTGACACAGATATACTGTCAGGAGATGATATTAAGTTTTTGTTTAACCAAGCAATAACTCATTTGATGAGCCTTGTGTGTTCCTCTCTTTCACAAAGGTGTTATGAGCTCTGGGAAATCTGCTCCTCATGAAAGAAAGAGTGCCATTACCCCGACACAGAGGGACAGTGTCCCAGCCAAGTCCCCAGTGTCGGGTGGTGACCCTCACCCTGGAGCCTCTCACAGCCCTTTCGACCCCCACCACCGGCCCGTCGGACCTGAGGAAGTGTACAGACCCCACCTAACTCCACACCTCGACCATGCCATGGCCATGACCCTCCACAGAGGGCTGGATCCTGGTACAGTGTTTATATCCTTTCCACCATAACTTCAAACAGAGCAATAACAGCCTTGTTTCTGAGTAAATTGACGAAGGTAGCTCAGGCCCTCTAAATCATAGGGACTACATGGCTGGGATCTTTTTCAGCTATTGACGTCAGCAGTGGCGATCGGTATCTGTGAGCCTTCTGTTCATATGTTTTGTTTTTTTTGTCCGCCGTCTGCTACAGCGTTCATGTTCCCCAGGCAGCCGTCTCCAACAGGTTACCACAACACCTACCAGCTGTACACCATGGAGAACACACGGCAGACGATTTTCAATGATTATATCACTTCCCAGCAGATGCAAGTCATCCGACCTGACATGGCCCGAGGGTTGTCACCACGGGAACAGCCCGTCGCTATCCCTTACGCAGCCGGGACTCGAGGTACGGACCTACACCAGCTGACCCGCTCTCACCTGCCACAACAGGCAGGAGAGAGGCCGTGTGAGGGTGGGGCTGTAGTATGCAGACTGTGTGTTTGTGAAGTAGTGGCTACCTTTTCCAGACGCCCAGAAGCAAATGACCTGGTCAAATTTAGCTGATTTGCTCTTAGTATTGGGGCTGCAATACTCAATTTATCAATTGGGTACGGTCATCCAAAGCTCCATTTGCTGATTGGTTGCCTCTTCCAAGTTGACCACTATTCCACTCCCTTTGCAGCCCTGTTGCTTACTGATCAGATGAAGGTGATAGGTTACAGCTAAATGTATACGGTGCTCATACATTCACACATTGATGGATCGGTTCTTGGTGTTCACCGTTGGCCCTTTGCTTCTGTCTGTAAAAGGGATTATTGATCTAGCCCAGATGCCTCCAACTATCCTGTTGCCTCACCCTGGGGGAACAGGTACTCCCACTTTGGAACGCATCTACCTCCCTGGAGCTCAGACCCCTTTCCCTCCTAGGGCTTTCAACCCAACCTCCATATCGCCAGGTGAGGACCCCTCCCTTTCCCATCCCCACACGTGTTCCCTTATCTACCCTGCCATGATCTCTGTGTTCCCTCACACCTCTGTATGAGTGCAGCCCTGCACTGGCCTGAGACGTCAACGGTTAGCTCTGCTTGTCCAGTGACGGATCAAGTCGAGTCTTAATGCAATCACACTGGGAGGGATTTCTCAAAAAAAGTTTTTTTTTTTGTAAATATGGTAATGTTCCAGAGACAGAATATTACCATGCTTATGATATGAAAGATTCAGAAGTTGTCCGCAAGGCCTTTTGGTTCAGATTTCTAAAGGAAGCCTGATCCGTCCTGCTGAGTCCCTGTTTGCTTAAATCTGTGTGTGTATGATGTCTGTCATTGTTGTCTCCAGGCCACCAAGCCCACCTGGCTGCTGCAGCTGCTGCCAGTGCAGAGAGGGAACGGGAGCAGCGTGACCGGGAGCAGCAGCAGCAGGAGAGGGAAAAGGAAAGGGAAAGGGAGCACCGAGAGAGGGAACGGGAGCGGGAAATGCGAGAACGAGAGCGGGAGAGAGCCAATGAATACATCCGCGGAGGTGAGTAGTTTTGTTTCAGTTTAAAAGTTGTGAAAATTTCAAATCAAAGTCATTACCTTTTGAGATGCCGCAGAATACGGACAGCTTCGGTCTCAGTTTCAGAACCGTTTACCCTAGGCTCTACTATGTTATGAAAACGTATACACGGAGTAGCTTAATACCACCGTGATTGTCAAACAGTAACTGCTCTGGGGCACTTTATTTTGAAACCCACTGTTTCAATGTTTCATGATTGTGTGTGCATCAGGTGGACCAGAGCAGCCAGGACGGCCAGGAAGTCGAGGTTATCTGCACTCCGTTTCTCCCTCGCTCAGGACGCAGGATGTCGTGGTTCAGCAGCGGCCTAGCATCTTCCAGGGCAAGAGTGTCATCACCGCTCTAATGTAAGTCTCAACCGACACTTGGATGAGCTCACTTGTACTCTTTGTAAAATGTCTGCTCGTCTATGCATGAGGGTTTGTGCTCAAGTTATAAGCGTGTTTCAAACTGCATGTCTTTTAACTGAACCCATTCATCAGGAAATATGGTCCTTCATCTCTTTATTTTACTCTTCAGGCCCCATGCAGCAGCAGCAGCAGCAGCGTCGGCAGCAGCAGCACAGAGTGGCTCTCGCTACAGTACTGCAGCTGATGCTCTGGCTGCTCTGGTGGATGCCGCTGCCTCTGCCCCGCAGATGGATGTGGCCAAGGTGAAGGAGAGCAAACACGACCGGGATGACGACATGTCTTTGTCGGCTGCAGCCCGGCGAGGGGCCAGCCTCTCCGAACAGCAGCAGGAGGCAGAGAGGCGGTCCATGCAGTCACCATATGGCGCTATGTCTCTGCCAGGGGGTAAGCCCCATCCAGCTTACTCTGAGGGCCCTGGAGCCGGGGTTAAGGACAAGGGCCCTCAAACCTCAAAGTCCCGCATCGAAGAGGAGCTTCGGACTCGTGGAAAGACGACTATCACAGCCGCTAACTTCATCGATGTCATCATCACACGGCAGATAGCCTCGGACAAAGACTCACGAGAGCGAGGCTCTCAGAGTTCTGACTCCTCTAGCAGCTGTAAGTGTGTTGGATACATGTGGATTAAGAAGTAGCTGATTTTATTCAAACAGCTCCTACGTGCACTGCAACACAGCTGAGTGGACAACCACACATAGGAGTTAAACCTTAAATCTAATCTTTATTCTTATAGAAGAAGATGACCAAAGCTTAAGATTGTGTCCTTTGCTGAGCATTACTAGTAACTCTTGGTCCGTACTTGTCCTGCAGTGTCATCCAGTCGATACGACAACACCGGTGGAGGAGCCATCGAGGTGATAAGCCCTGCTAGTTCCCCAGTCCAGCCCCAACAGGAGAAACCTGAGGAAGTGCAACAACAGGCAGCAAGTATGAACACCCCAACTCCGTTTGAGCATATGATATTCTCGAGTAAGTAGTATAGTGAAAACGTTTCAATTCTTTCAAAGATTGTATCAAAGATGCTTGATGCTTCAGGTCAAAGAGGACGTATAACAGATTTGGCTGTGAATGCTAAATTTAGCTGCTTGACAATTGGCTAATGGAGTAAATTACTGTAACTGAAATGACTTACCCCACTGACCTTGTCATGTGAGATTTTCAGTTACATTCATTTGCACCAGTCTTGTCACGAGACTCCACTTGAAGTTATTCCTGTCTCCTGCAAACAAATGTGGACCATTTGTTTTTGGCATACAGTGCATTAGCTCCTCCCTGTCTCTCTAAGCCTCACCCTGACCCAGTCTCAAAAACAACTACGCTCTGTCCCTTGTCAACCTTCACCAGCTGGCATGCGGGGCTACGACATGAGTCGTTACCGGCAATCAGGGGAGCCACCACAGCCCAGTTCCCAGCACCCCCCGTCCTCTCAGATTGAGAGCTACTCCCAGGTTCCCAAGACTCACAAGGTCATGACCTTAGCAGACCACATTTCGGTAAGAAACGCTGGGGAATCTAAATAAAAGTAATGCTGCACATACTAGATTTACCATGTTTATCAACCCACCATACATACCTAACCTGTTTTTATGGTATCTCCCTGTCCTGCAGCATATTATAACCCAGGACTTCGCCCGGAATCAGGACCCTCCTCCCGTCTCCTCCTCAGCTTCGGCCACATTCCAGAGCGCGGTGCCATCTTCAGGGCGAGCCAAGATGCCCAGCCGCTACAGTCCTGAGAATCAGGTCCAGGCCTCACACCACCAGAGACCCTCCAGCAGAGTTTCCCCAGAGAATGCCCCTGACAAGCCTAGATCCAGGTACTTAGACCAGCCTGTTAACCCTGAAATTATCATAGTGAATCTAATTTATTACTCGTCATCTGTCAACAATTTCTCTCTCTCGGCTCCCTGTCTAGGCCGGGTAAATCTCCAGATCGAGGCGGCAGGCAGATGGAGAACTATGAACCCATCTCTCCACCACAGAGCTACCAAGGCATGGACAAACAGGAGGTGATCGGGCCTCCACCCCAGAGACGAGAGGCTGACAACTCCGAGATCAGGTACGGGATTTCAGAGTTGTCATAATGACGTTTCCTTTTTACAATTAACACTTGAAATGATGAAGGCACTTGCAAATGACATGGTAGTAAAAAATGTAAACCATACTCCTCATTCATATACTTTTATATATATATATATATTTTCTTCTATGAAACAAAAATTAAATCATACTCTCTAAACTAAAAATAAATCTGGTTTGAATTCATCACTAAACACTTTAACTGTGCTTGTTTACAACATGTTCATAGTAGTTCATAGTTGGATGTTTGATGCTGTCTGCCCAACAATGTAGTATATCTCTTAATACTGTAGCTTAAAATTGATTCTGAATTAGTTTTTTTATTGATATTAACATTGTAGGAATATAGTAGCTGACACAATTTAAATGTTAATTAAGAAAGTAGTTCATAGCAATACAATGTAGACAAGTGTGCAACTTATATATTGAGATATAAATGTATTGTCAGCTGGAATAATGTGAATATTACCAGTTTTTCTACACTCGATGCTAAAGTTATTTTGCTGTTAGCGCCCTGACATTTGATATACGAGACTGTAAATCTATTTCTTGTATGGAGGTCAGCAGGCAGAACGTTCCCCCCTGTCAGCACGCGTTTGACATCCCAGTGGGGTCGAGAGGGCCTTGTGCCAAGAGCTTGTTGCCCCAGTTACTCCTTTGCTATTTGACTTTTTACCCTTTGTCTGGTTCAAGGAATGACTCGCGGTCCCCAGGGAATGTCACCTATCTGCCATCCTTCTTCACCAAGCTGGAGAACACCTCGCCAATGGTGCAATCAAAGAAGCAGGAGATCTTTCGTAAGTTGAACTCCAACTCTGGTGTCGGTGATTCTGATGTTGGTAAGTGGGTCTTCTCTTATCCTCCTCCTTCAAACCGACATGCATGCATCAGACAATGGAACAAACTGCTGAAATGTGTGCACGCAAGACATTTGTATGTAATCAACTCATTCCTTCTCATTTTTCAAGCTCATTAAGCATGTGATAACACGGGAACAACTTTACTCACTGTATCACGTTAAACTCTGTTTCATGTCAGATATTTAGTTTTTTTTCAACAGCAAAAAATTGTCTTGCAGGAAGCGCACAACCAGGCACAGAGATTTTCAACTTGCCGGCTGTTACCACCTCAAGTGAGTAGCAGTTAAACTCGCTCAGAGACTTAACACCTCAGTCTAGTTGATGTCTCCTTTCTCATTGTATATTTTATTTATTTTGTTCTGGTTTGTAGGCAGCATCAACCCCAGGAATCACTCATTTAGTGACCCGGCCAATAACCTGGGCCTGGAGGACATCATCCGCAAAGCCTTGATGGGCAACTTGGAGGAGAGACAGGAGGACCACCAGGGAGGACTAGGGGCTCAGTGTGCCATGAACAACACACCCGGCCCAGGCAGTGACGCCCGCCAGGAGGCCAACCCGTCACCCAGTATGGGTAGGCCCAATTTACATGATCAAAATGACACATGATCAGAAGGGATCTGATGTTTAACACGTTGCTGATTTCCACATTCTGCCTGTTTGAATCTACAGGGAAGCAGAAGCACAGCAAAGCCAACAGCCGGAAATCCAAGTCCCCTAACCTTGGTCAGGCCTACGCTGGAGGGGAGCGCCCATCTTCCGTGTCCTCTGTCCACTCGGAGGGAGATTATCACAGACAAGCCCAAGCTCAACCACAATGGGGCTGGGACGACCGACCTTCGTCCACAGGTGAGCTGTCCTGCCTCTGCTGTCGGTGCCTACAAAAAGTGTCTCCCGGATAAGTCAACCTGGAGCTATCTTATCTAATTCTTCTCAAATGTTCTCCTTCTTTGCCCAGGATCCATGCAGTTCCCTTACAACCCGCTGACCATGCGCATACTGAGCGGCACGCCACCCACCTCCATACAGAGCCAGCAGCAGCAGCAGCAGCAGCAGCAGCAGCAACAACAACAACAACAACAACAACAACAACAACAACAGCAGCAGCAGCAGCCTCCGGCTGGAGCCCCGGTGGCCCAGCAGCGCGTATGGCAGTCTCTGCTGTCAGAGCAATACGAGACCCTGTCTGACAGCGACGACTGAGCCCTCCTCACTACAGCCCGAAAAACCAGAAGAGAGGCCTGCGCCAAGGCTTGTCTTTTCACACACACACACACACACACACCCCCCCTGCCACCTCTCCCAGAACTATCCTCGCTCACTGGCGAGTGTGACAAGTAGATGGGACAGTTTATTTTTGGTGCTATGGCGCCCACTGGCTGTTCGCTGAGAGTACAAGCAACAGCCACTGACAGGCGGGGCTCTCCAGAGCAAGATTGGCTTTGGTCTGGAAGCACTCGCCCAGCCTGTCGGTGAAACGCGACTGAGGGGATGACGTGAGCTATAGTGAAGAGGAAGAGCTTAAAATGTAAAAAGAAACGACATAAGAGACTATTTCTGAATTTTTTGGATTTCTGTAAAGATATACCTTGTCTTTAAGAAAATCATTGTATGTAAATAGAGTAACCTTTTGCAGTGTTTTTCTTAACTTGATTATTTCTTATTTTAATGTCGCTTTTAAATGGGAAGAATAGGGGTGTAATCTTTAGTATCACAGTCGGTCTCTCCCAGTCCACCCCCCCACCCCACATGACCTGACACCCACTCTAATATTTTTACCATAGCGACGCTGAGTTTGGTTTGTCCTTGACCATGAGACCGTGCCATCCCACCAAGCACCACCAGAGCCTGAACATCGTGAACATTCGAGGATGTAAAAACAAAACACAGACTTAACATTTCAAACAGCATTGATAGTTGATGACCATCTACGCCACACAGGGGAGCCGATGCGTGGATTGTAACTATCAGATGGTAGCGGTGATTTCTCGCCCCGTTCTAGACGGAGACATGTCTTCAAAACAAGTTGAGAACACTGGTGTCATAGCAGAACGGTGAAAAGTCTGATATAAGCTTAATTTTGCCGGAAAATATATCCTCATGCCTACTCCTGGACCCCGTCTGAATAATACAAGTGAGCCAATGTTTGTTTTTTTTGTTTTTTTTTCAATAGAGCTGTCCATGGTGTGTCACATGTCGCTGTCTCTCTCTGCAGTTTCCAACCTGTCCAGAATGATCTGCTCTGCAATGTTGTCATGGTAAAGAAAGTAGTACGTCAGGTTTTGCCATGCCTTGTGACTTGAGAAAGAAGGCAGCTTTAACTAATTTTCTCAGAGATATACGTTGGTGTTTGATGTTTGTATTTGTTTCTGTAGTCCCTCTTCTTTTTTTTTTTTTTTGGATACTTTCCTGACAGAAATCTGAACTCTGTAAATTGTCTTTTCATTACACAAAAAGACAAAACTAACCAAACATAAAGAATGGTCTGCACCATTGTTGCACTTTTTTTGCTTTGTAGCTTGTGACAAAAAAAAAAGCATACTACCTGCTGTGTAACTTATTCAACCTCCAGCACAGGAGTATACTAAGATGTGCTTTAACCTTTTCCCACCACTCACAGAAATCTGGATGTTTGGACTTCCTGTCTCTTCTTGTAGCTGGTACATGATTTTGTAGCGTTGACACTTTCATCCAAGATACAGTTTTAAGTGTATGGTACCGTTAAATGTTTAGAAGTTTGCCGTCAGGGTGATTCTTAACCGTGACCGCTTAATCTCTGCTTTCATTGTGTCAATCAGAAGGCATTCAGCTTTGAATATGAATTATTATAGGTCCGCTTCATAAATGGCAGTAATGTTCCTTTGCAAGTACGTGAAAGAAATACCACACCTTGGCTTTCAGCTTTCACTTTTCTCAGTTAACAATCCCATTCTGCTTTAAACTTTATTTCCTTTCTTCCTTTCATTTTGATTTTGAATCATTTGTTGTAGCACATGTTCAGATTTTTATTTTCTGTCATTTTCAACATCTTTGTTATTCATCCTGTCTACACAGGATGTCATGTGTTTACAAAGGCAATGACAAAAAAAGTTTACAAACGTGAATCTTAAAGAAATCCGACATGAAGCCGAAAAAGAATTGGAGCATCTTTTCAGCTCTCTATCAAACACACAGTGGTGACTTTCTTTTTTTTTTTTGTCTTTTTGAAATTGAGACTTGAAAACCCGTGTATCCTATGATGTTGAAATGCAATGTTTGTATCGCACAATGTCTCTTAGTAGGCTATTACAAGAGTTCAGACCAATCAAATAAAGTGGATCAGTTCTCCACTGCTGAAAAGTGTAGAGGTTCTTCATAGGTGTGCCATATGAGGTGTACTAAAACTCTTCATGCAATATGAAATGAAAACATTATGGTTTCAGTAATAGCAACTTGTGGTATGTATATTTATATATACGGGTGAAGACATGTTCAGTCCATGTCCTCACCTGTATTAATGTACAATACAGGTTTTGCTGCGTCCCCATTTCTACTGTGGTCAGGTTTTCCTTTCAGGCCACACATTTAATCATGAGCCATGTGAAAAATCAGCTGTTGAGTTACGTGGCTTCAATTTGCGTTCGGCCTGCCGTGTGCTAAATGAAGATGATGATTTTCTTAACTCTTTTAGATCACAATGCTTACTGCAGTGAAGTCGACAGTGTATTCATAATGCCATCCTATTAGGGGCCTTTTCGTCTGAGACTTGACTGTCATAGTGCAAGTTAATGGACTGTAATATACCTTACTCAAAGCAGACGTCTGAGTGCTTTCCATTTAGGTGAGCCAGTGCCATGCCTCTGATATGGGTCTGTTTCACAGCAGACGTTTTGACATCTCATTGCGGTAAAAGCAAAATGCCCTGATGAGAGGCTTATTTCTGCTGACCTCTGCATTATACTGCTTTACTGCAATAGACTACAAGAAGAGTCGATACCAGATACACAGCAAGGAATTATTGGTATGTTTTGTTTTTGTCATTACCTTTTATAATGAAAAATGTATTGGAAAGTCACAACTTTTGCTTTCTAGGGCAACATAAGTGCATTAAAATATGACTCAAACCAAGTACAGCTTGGCATTAACATATTAATTATAGTTGTTTGGTGGAGCATTGATGGCTTTATTCCAAGTTGGTATTCTATCTGTTTGGGACTTCCTTGTCTTTAACATGCACATGCCTAAGGAGACTATTTTATTGATAAAAGCAGGCGATACTCTCAATGCTCTCATTTGCTACTTAAACATATAGTATGACTACACATACCAGGAATTTGACTCTGGCTACTTTTGCTCTTGTTGTACATAAGCAGAAATAAAACAAGGACAAATGTTACCAGGACACTGTTATGTACAGACCAGGTGTTGGATAGTTCAGTGTCAAGTGATCACAACAATGCCTAACAGTTGGAATATTAACAGAAATGTTGCTTAAGCAAAGTTATTTTTAAGACTTCACATTAGAAAAAGGTTATTCTAGGGTTGCCAATATTGAAATTGGATCACAGAACATTAAGTGAACATACTATGGGCCGACAAATCACAGTACAAACCTCTTCAATCTGATCACTGAGTAGACTGCAGAGGGCCCAAAGAAAAACGCCTTCCCAAAATACTTATGTAAGCACTGTTCTAGTTCAATAATGATCGAGGGCCACATATGCTTTTCTTGAATGGAAAACAAATCTAAAATCGAAGGGTATTTGGGGGGAAATTGATACAACAGTATTCTCCCCTGTCGTGTAACACTGTGGGGACATTAAGACAAAGTAAGTTTTAATAATTTGATTACTCTTCTTTTGGTGCCAAAACTATCATTTACAATTTAAAATGTAAATGATACATTTGGTGTTTGAATTATACTATTTTTGTTTCTGTTAAAGTAGTTGAAGTAAAGAATAAAAACATCACTAAAATAGGTGACCACAAACTTTTAAACTGTGTGTATACACACAACTCTTTCTGTGAATTGTAAACGATAATACAATAGTGCAGTGTAAATATGCTGGAATAAATATTGAATCTAAGCGGCTGCTTTATGTACATGATGTAGGTGGATATATACAGTAGCCTATATGCATGCATACCTGTCAGATTACAGTATATTTAGTGTATACAGCAGCTTAGATTTATAGGCCTATTTGACAACATGTACATGTTACAATTTTATATATATATCAGATACATAGCGTCAAATGCAGAGACAAATTTATCCTTAATTAACAGGATAAATATAGTATAAAAAAATTTAAATCCTAATTTTCTGTCTAATTGTAATACTTAACGCTAGATTTCAGGCTATTGGTCTCATTTTGTGCAATAACAATAATATATAAGGTTATTTATTTAGCATCTGTAAATAAAGATATTTATTGAGAAAGCCTACATCCTACTTGATGTCAACATGTTTTCAGTCAGAGCACTGGAATGTGTCCATCGATTAATGATTGTGAAGCATCACAAAACATATTAAAAGAAAAGCACAATTGTCACTGACGGAAACTTGCAGCGTTGCTTTTCCTCCGTGTGGAGCCTGTTTATGTAGCTGTGATGTTTGGACTGTTGGTTCAGTTTTTAAATTTATTAAATTTACAGTTGTATGATTTTAGAAATGACGCTATCTTCACATATATTTATTTATATAAATGTTTAAATAAATATGACATCCAAGAACTAAAATATGCCCAATCTTATATCTTTAATTATAATAACACAATTAAATATATAAAAAAACATCCAAACTTAAAGACCAGCAATTTTAGAGTTAAGTGTCTTGCTCAAGGACACATCGACATGCTCATAGCGGAGCCAGGGATCAAACCGCCGCTCCTCTGATTGAAGGAGGGCCCTGCGCTCCACTTAGCCAAGATCAGTTCTAGACTATGAATGTGTGGCATATAGGTCGGCGTCTAAAACCTTGTTGGGAAAACTGGATGTAATACAAGCGTCAAGAATATGTAGTGGGGTCTTTAAAACAACATCTGTGCCGGCATTGCAGGTAGAAATGGGGGAAATGCCATTGGAGTTGAGAAGAATCCAGATCATGATGACATATTGGGTCAGTTTACAAGGACATAACAACCACCCAACAATAAGTGCAATTGAGCCATGCTGGGAACATGACAACAGGCCAACACAGAGCTTTGGTTGGGTTGTTCAGAAGAAGGCTAGTGAATTAGGTTATAGGAGTTATTCTCCAGCTGTGGTCCAGCTGTTCCTCTTTGGTTACTGCCACAGCCTGGAATTGATCTTGGCCTCCATGAACTGATGAGAGATGAACGTGGGGGAAACTGTAAGATCTTCAATTCATACATCAGTTAGGCTACCACATAAATACAGATTTATGGATCTAAAGACCCTAAAACTGGTAGAATAGCAGCAGCAGCAGTAATCCTAGAATTCCATTTGGAGTGTGGGAAGAGACTCAGTGATGATTTATCTGTGTTTGCATGTGAGATGATGGCCATAGTTATTGCATTACAGTGGGTAGAGGACGTCAGGCCAGAGAGAGTGGTGATTGCATCAGACTCATGTGCAGTGCTAACGAGTTTGACATGTTGCCACTCCAGAAGCAGAGAGGATTTACTGTTTGAAATACTACAATCATTTTTAAGAATCCATCAAATGCGGATAGCGGTTCATTTTGTGTGGGTCCATGTTGGAGTCGATGGCAATGAGAAGGCGGATAAAGCAGCAAAAAGGGCTTTGAAGGTGGGAAAAATAACGTTAATGTAAATATAAGTAACTCAGAAGCTAAAGTGGTGATTAAGGGACAAATCAAAAAGATATGTCAGAATGAATGTAATAAAGGGAGTAAAGGAAGATATCTGTTTAAAAATAAACCATTGGTTGGGAGCAGGGTCTAGTGGACGAACTAGAAAAGAGGAGATGATTGACAAGACTAAGGAATGGCCATACTGGTCTGAACAGTTCCCTCTATGTTATTAGAAAGCATAATAATGGAAAGTGTAAATTTTGTGGAGAAGAAGAAACCGTGGACCATGTTTTATTGTCCTGTCAGAGGTACGAGTCAGCGAGAGAAGTTTTGAAAAAAGGTCTAAGAGAGATTGGAGAGGAAAATATCATTAATGTAGCTACTAAAGAAAAGCTTTAGTGACAAATGTTGAAAACTGTTTCTGGAATATTTAGAGTCAACCAGATTAATGAATAGAATTTGAGAAAAAAAATAATTATTAATTATTATTTATTTTTTCTATTTTAGTATATATTTTTATATACATAACTTTATTTATTTACACACATATGTATGTGTGTGTATATATGTATATGTATTTCTTTTCGTTTGGTTGTGGTATTAGAGTCCTTAGTCCACTCCAGATTAGTGGGAGGCGGTAATGCACCCGAAAGCTGTTTGCCAACCGCCAAAAAAAGCAAAAGAAGAAGAAGAAGAAGAAGAAGCAAAAGAAGAAGAAGAAGAAGAAGAAGCAGGCGGCTGAAAACGGTCCGACTTGAACGCAGTTTTTTGTCAACGCCCCTTTCTACGTCCGCCTGCTCTCGTCTGCTTTCCAGGCGAGACGCAGTTCAACTCGAACGAGCCTATTCAAATAATACCCACCGTATCCGTTTACAACTTTACGTTACGCTTTTATTTTGGAGGGAAATCAAAAGTTCGAGCCGGAAGCTGTAATGTTTTGGTTGCACCTTATTGGCTACCGGAGTCGTCGGTATCCGGAAACAAATCGGTGTGAAAATGCGTTCATTTTTACCTGCTGTGGCCGAACAGCTTTTCCGAGATATTCAACAAACACACCAGGAAACGTCCCAAAGTAAGTTGAGGCTGCTGAAGAGAGACACACGTGACGGTTGACCCCGGACAGTTAAAATTAAAAGTATCTGTAGCATCAACGTTGCGCGCTAATATAGCAGAATGTGACAAACTCCATCACGTGACTTTTCTGAACAAACTTAACGTTAACTCCTTTGTTAGAAGTTATAACAAAATTGTTTCTTTTCCATTTATTAAAAACGTAGCTGTCTTTACTATGCTTTTACGGTAACGTAAATGTAGCATTTGGTAATTTACTTAATCTTGTTCCAGCGGTTTACAACGATGTAGTTCCATATTTGGCCTGTGGGGGGCGGTGTTGTAACACATTTATGCGTGTAGAGCCAGTCTTTTCTCAGACTTCTGTTACTTTATACCCCAACAGGCCTTTTCCACTGCAGACATTTAGCAGGAACACTACTGATGTAATTGATAACATCACAACTGCCTCCCTCATTTCGGTGGTCTCTTCCAGGGTCCTACTATGAGCCCTTTTTAACAGCAGATATATTGACTTGTCATAGAAATAGCTCAGGTGGCATTGATAATATTAACAATAGGTATGTTGTGTTCATGTGTCCCCTAATGCATGATACCAAAACAAAAGCAGTTAAATCGAATTTAGCCATTCACCTTTTATTATTATTATTATCATTACTTACACCAGGCTCTGGGCAGACAACACTGCAGTTCTTGAACATTAGTTACATAAAGCACAGTTTTCCCCAATCAGTTTTTGTCAGCAGAACATAAAATGCGAATGTTATGCTACCAAAAAACCTACAACACGGTTTTGTGTGTATTGTCCATAAAGGATTACCTCGTGCCAAGCCCTAAATCCCAATATTGCTCTGTATGCCTCAGTGGACTTCTATTATCATTAGTCAGTGGTTGTGGTTTATCTGTACGTGGCCATTTTTTACCTTCCAAACTGAAGAGCACAGGAGCTTTGGCTTTGGGAAGAGCTGGTATTGTACATTAAGCCACGCCGAGGGACTGAACAATACTGTAGGTTTAAATAGTCGACACAGAGCCAATTCAAGGCCGTCTCAGCAGTTGTTCTTTTTTAACCCGCATTATCTGAAACAGTCATTAGACCTGAACCCACAACTGTTAGTTAGGCTGTCAGCTTTCCTCTCTGCCTGTCAGACTGTTCACTGGGAGTGGATAGAAAAATAATCAAATCCTTTACCGAAAAGTAGCATTATCACAATGTAAAAGTCCTAATAGAACCTGGCGATGAGTGAAATGTGCAGAGCTTTCCATTAAAATGCAGTATGCACGAAACAAAAATGCAGAGTATTCATGTCCGGGCAAAGTTTTCCAGTGGCTAATGTGAACCAAACATGTAATCAAGACGTAAATGATCCATCTGTGTATCTGAATATCGTATCTTTACCTCAACATCAACACAAAGCATCTTCGAAACAGATACTAGATAGAAATAGCTTATTAAAGTTTGATCTCTTAAAACTGTGGAGTTGATTTTTTTTGTAAAAAACAAAAATTAAATAAGTAAAAATACACAATCACACGTTTAAAGAAATTATTTATGTTTTTCTCTCTTTTTTTTGCAGTTCCTGATGACCTGCTCATTGCGTAAGTATCAATCTTATCAGTCCCCTTGTTACCCATTAACCTCCATCACAGGTAATTATTAATAAGTCTGCAAACATCAATTACTTTATTAAGACAATACATAAATGTAGTTCTTCTCCAACATCTGAGTTATGATCTATGTCAACAAAAAACTAAGGTCTGCACAGGGCTGAATCTGAGTGGGTGTGAAGTGAAGAAACCACGAGGAGGAAGTGGGAGTTTTTATTATTGTTTTTACTGGCTGGTCTTACCAGAGAGACGTAGCACTGAGACACAGAGTCACGATGCTGCTCTGTGTCTCTGCTGGGATATTTCCTGGCATTGTGGTTTGAGTTTCTGTGAGTGAAGAAGTGCTCACTGTCTAGGTGAACACAGCCCACATCCTGTCTGTTTGCCTGGAAGCCTCTGGTCTAGAGGCTCTTCATCATACTCTGTGGTAATTCACAAGCAGACATCGATCTGTTGTTATCTCTCTCTCCTGGTTTCTCTCATCGCTGCCTCGTAAAAACTCAAAACGAACAAATTGAGTGATTGAAGTTTTTTTTTTTACATTAGAGGAGTTTTTTATGATCTAATGCTTCTCCAGGGTTGCTGTTTATTGCATTGAACGTCAATATGATAAACTTACATTTTGTTTCTCATCATTTTGCCATAACAGTCTTATCATATAGTTTGAGATCAAGCCAGTCATAGTGTACACTGGTGCACTTATAGTGAAAGAATAAAGACTTTGACACTCGTACAAAAATGATAAATCTTGTATTTTTACACCTATTCATTTATTTTTTTGGTAGTGTATTTTTCATTGGATGCACGATGTTCACATTTAGATATTTCAAACACAACTACAAACTGAATAATACTATTTTTTGCCATCTGAGGTTTTGGTGTTAGTCCCCTAAAATGAAAGAGCAAGAGCTTCACTCTGACTAAAAGAGGCAGATAAGCTGTTTCTTCTCTCAACAGTAGCCCCACAAGCTCACAGCCCGCAGGGGGCGTTAAAACACGCTTATATTAATAAGGTGAACACTGTGTGAGTGTTCGTATATATACATTAGTCTGTATGCATACCGTGTCAAATTTATTTTATTTGCATAACCCAATGTGGACACCTGTCCGTGTTTCACGTTTTTCTTCTTGGCGTCCTTCAGGCTGAAGTTTGTCTTCGGGCCTTGTGCGCTGCAGGCTTTGGACCTTGTTGACCAGCATTCAGTCACCTGTCTGTCTTCACCCAGTGGACGCAAAGCATTCCAGGTCTGTCACGCTTCTGTCAACTCTGAACATTTACAAACAGTAGCCCCACACACACACACACACACACACACGTATTACAAATAAATGGTGTGCATTCTAACAAAAATCATTACCACAATATCTACGCTCTCCCCACGGCAAAAAACAATTTCCATCTCGCAGGAACTACATAATTAATGTGAGCAGGAGTCCAGCTAACAGATGTTATGATTTGACTGCCCGTATAACTAGGCGTTTGCATTTTAACATCGTTTTCTGACTCCTGGTAACTCAGGTTTATTTATGTTGTGTTTTTCAAAAGTGAAATAATGCCAGTTCAGCTGTGTTTTCTCTCCATAGGAGTATCGAACCAGTTTAATAACAGTTTGTAAATATACATAAATACATATTTGCCATCTAGATTAACAAGATAATCAGCACAGTTGATCATAGGGCTTTTTCCCCTTCAAACAAGTGCAGGACTAAAGATGTGTTCAGTGGGCATCTCCATCGTACTTTGTTCTGGTCCAGCATAAAGATTCAGTGATCGCTCGTCCTGTAAAGCATCTTTTTTTTTTTTCAGCTGATCTTTCATGAGTCAAAACATTTGAGACCTCTGTTCTGTGCCACAGTGGCTTGCGCCAGGAAAAGGACACGATCTGATGTTGTTGTTAAAGAAAAGCTGTGACACATTTTGGATACAGGTATTGTAGCTTGAAGTTTTTGATTCGGGGTGTTTTCAAAGAAAGCAAAGATAAATCCACTCAGTCGGTTGTTAGAGCTTAACTTAATGAATCCTTAATGAATTCATACTGTGGCACACCCATTAGTCAAGTACCGGCATGGTTCACACAAACACACACTACACTATTGTGTGCTTGTGTGTTTCCTGGCATGTGACATTTTATAACCGTATAATAGAGGCACTGAGAGGCGGATACTTACAGTGACTCTAAGATCACAATAAAATGTGTTACCTACCGAACTCAGGTTTGTCTTCTGTGGGTTGTATTATAATATCTCATTAAAACCGACTGAGTGGTTGTTACATAATTGAGTGAGTTCCTTGATTAAGTTGTTATATTATAATCTCAGTGGGACGTAGAGTGACCGGTGGGAGGAAGAAGGCCGCCCAAAGCACTGAGGTCGTGGTCATTGTGACCCAGATTTCCTGTGAACTCCTTCAGGCTGCTGCAAAAACAGGTTTTATGAAAAGAAAGCACAATGCAGCTAAATAAAGACATGGATTCTATTCTGATGGGACACTTTCAACTCAATTGTTGATGTCAACTTAATTTCCCTCAAGGCTATCCGGTACAGAACAGCAGAATTACCAACTGTTTTCCAATTGTGTTCTTACTGGCAAAGGAACTTTCACAGTACAAATGATGTATCTTTACTCGTATTTAGAAATGTGTCAGATTCCCCAAATATACTAAGCACCTTGGGATATTTACATTGAGGTCTGTAATTCTACAAAACATCTTGTTTATACGAACTGAGCCTTAAACGTCTTTCGGCGCAGAAATGATTAGTCGGTTGGAGAAAATAAATCTGCTATTATTGCTGTTGCTGGTTCCAGCATCTCGTACATGACGACCGGCTTCTTTTCTTTGTCATATATGATGATAATGAAATATGTTTAGGTTTTGGACTGTTGGTCGAACACCACACACACAGTTAAAAGACGTCCCGTTGGGCTCTGGGAGGCGATGTGTGATGGGCATAGAATAAAAAATTAATCGATGAATTGAGAAAATAATTGCAGCCGTAGCGGTGATTCGTGGCATTAGATTGTAAGTTGAGAGCAGATAATAAACTGGATGCAATGTCTTGCAGGCTGCAGTGATCAGTGGAAGTGACATGTGTCTGAACCTGTGGCAAGGTCACACATTTCTCCGTCTCTGCATCGCTGCACCGTGTGCTGCTCTGCAACACCTCAGGTTAATATTCACACGCATACGGACGCCGGCCGTCACTCACTCACAGCTGCAGATGAATGGTGCTGGAAGCAGCTAGCCTGTCTCCGTCTGAAGGTGAAAGAATCTTCCTATCAGCACTTCTGAAGTACACTCATTAGTAATCAGGATGTGCATTTGATGGAACATGCGAGTATTGAATGGATGGCTTATGGATATAAGCTACTTATAGACTAGAGTAAACTAGAGTTTAAGTTGGCTTAATGTAATCACAGCGTGTCTCTTGACTTTTAAGATATATAAGTTGGAGGAAAGGGAGGCGAAGGTGCTGCCCTGATGATCAGGCTGCATGCTTCTCCCTCTGGGTAGACCATATTTGGGCAGCATGGTGACAGCACTGTGAGTTAGAGTGTTGTTCAACCTCTCGAGGAGAGTGAAAGCAGTGATGACATTTTAGGAAGCAGTGGCTCACTTAAAAGATGAAGCCCCCCCGCAATTAGTCATCCAAGAGTCCTTACACATTCCCCGTGTCAGGAGAGGACGAGAGAGCAGATTTCTCTCATCACATCATGAAAAGCAACATCTTCACAAAGCGGAGGTTAGTTTCCTCAAAATCATCAGACCCGAAATGTAAATGTATTCTTAGACTAACACTGAGCGTTGAGTTTACTGGAAGAGCTGTGACGTGTGTGCTATATGTGTATATGTGTGTGTGTATATGTGTGCTGTATGTGTCAGAGAGATGCTGAAGTAGTTGATAAATTAACAAATTTCACCATGTTTTTTTTTTTGTCATTTCCTGTTAATATTATGTTTCCGTGGGACACAATGGAGTTTCTCATGTTGCCGAGGTTATTCAGTCTCCTCCCTCAAAAGGAATGAATAACTCATGAGAGCACGGCATTTCACTGCTGAGATCTTTCACCCAATCTCATACTTAACGCTCGGTGACCTTTTCGTGTGCGATGGTGTAGTGCGGCCTGTTGAGTAGTGTATTCGCAACAGTAATGAAACACCAACTGCATGAAGACGATCCTTCTGTGGGTGAAGGTGTTTGCTCTTTTAATAAGCATGACACAAAATATGGAGGTTGCTGTTGAGGACAGTATTTCTGAAACAAGTAGTTTTGTAATTGATCAATTATCACAGGATTCATTTTCAGGTTCCAGCTTCATCAAATTTGAAAGTTTTTTTTTCCTATAACTGTAAATTGAATATCTCTGGGTTTTGGACTGTAGGTTGATGAAAACAAGCGATTTGAAGACTTTTGACATCATATGCGAGAGTAATTGGGGGCTCTTCACCACAGTAAAGTTGCGGGATACAGTAGAATAAACGGTGAGCTGGGAGTATGACTTTTTCTGTGCCTCAGATCAAGTTTGACATGTCTGATCAGATATCCGATTAGTCCGTGGCCAACGGAGCAAAAATGTCCTCATAAGGTGGTGAAAGGGGGGCGTCGGGATGATGCTGTGTTAACACGAGTGCCTGGTTTTTAAGGAGAGGCAGCTGAACTGCATCAGTCAGCCGAGGACCTCATACTACAGTGTGCTGGAGTTCAGATACAAGAGTTCCGCAGCTCAACGACTTCTCAGAGCTTTAAACTTCCGTGAAGCCTTGTTTGTGGTGTGTGTGGTCCGTCCAAAGTCCCGGTCTTCTGGCTCACGACTGCTTCCCGAGAAGTATTCCCGTGAGAGCCAGCATTACGGGCAAGAGCCAGAGCTTTGCTGTGGCTCTAACTCTGCAGCGACTGAATGGCAGATCTGGATGTATAGTGTCGTTCTGAGGAGACCAGGATACCTGCCAGGCAGTGGAGGCCAACTTTGCGGCGTGAGCTGCCGCAAGAGCCAAAGAATCAATGATGACAGCGTACAACAAAAAGGCCCAAGTGTGAGCTGGTTTTCAATAAACGTGGCTCTTTAGAAACTGTAGAGGTCCTCGGCTCGGTCTCCACAGTTGTACTTTCTTTCCATCCCCATCCTGCTGCGCATGGTGCTTTATTCATCTTCAGTGGGGTGCTTTGAGTCCATGTGACTGTCTCTTTTGTGCCTTGTTCATAATGAAGTGTCACGTTGAAGAAATGGGATGTTTTTGCTTGTGTAGGTCACGGGGAACGGTAATTAATCTAGGCTCTGGAGAATAATAGAGCCTGCTCTGCCCTCTTGGGAGGCATTCGTTATTGTGGAGTGTCGAGCTAATCCTCCGACTTAATGTCCTCATGTGTCATGTGCATGACGACGAGACTTAAATCAGTCTGTAGCCGGGGAGATTGAGCGCCAGCATCGGGGACAGGAAGTTCTGTCAGGTGAGGCCATTAGACGCCACATGCGGGTTGTTTAAAAATGCATCGTTTCTATCTCATCTCCTCCAAATAACTAATGTGAAAGGAGGATGATGATGATGATGATGGTGGTGCAGGCAACCTCACCTTCAACCCAACCACCAGTCGGTCACTTCTTTGACAGATGCAAAAGGAGAGTCCACCCCAACATGTTTGTGTGTATGTATGT